TGAGCCCCTTGCAGTCTCTCTTTACCTGGCAACAGGGAGAGTCAGCTCTACCAGGTCTCTGATTGGTTAAGCCCGGCTGTGCTCATCCCTCTCCACCCCTTCTCACAATTTCAGTCTATAGAAGCCCACAGTTTCAGAGCTCTTGTCTGTCTCCGTTCTGCCTCAGTTCCTCAGCACTGTTCCTGTGCTCATTCTTGTCACCTGGGGACCCCACAAGGTGTGCTCTAAAAAGAAAATGTTCCAGACTGGAACCGTGATCCTGAGAGCCCTCTCCCTGGCTTTCCTGCTGAGTCTTCAAGGAGCTGGGGCCATAGAGGGTGAGTGCTCAGGAGGACCCAAAAGGGTGCGTGTGTGGGCGGGGGATGTCAGTATGAGAGGGGGACAGGCAGCCAGCTAATGGCTTTAGGAATTAGAGATTTTAGGAACTTATTGTCTATTTTCCTCTATGTTCCTTTTCTGTCTTCCCCCACTCATGGGAAGTTTGCCTTCTTTCCCTCTTGCTCCAATTATCGTAATAGCAATAGCACCACAACTTACTAGACACCTAGGTGATTTCTTTCCCCTTCTTTACGTGACACAAGAACCTTTGACCAAGATATTATTTTCTCCATTTTGGAGATGAAAAAAAAAAAGCAAAGCTCCAAAAGATTGATACATTTTCCAAGGTTATGTATACCGAGCCAAAGAGCCAAGGTTTAAATCCAGACCCAAATCTGATTATTGTACTCTGCATTTCTCAGACTTCTGCACACAGTGACTTTCTAACTAAACCCTACTGGGATCCTGCACTCCTCTTGTCTTTCCTGAATGCTCAATTTCTGCTTTGTGTGTCCCAGAGTTATGGGCCCTGTGTGTTGGAACTTGGGAGATAAATTGCTTAGAGTATTCCTGTGTTCGTCCCTCTCTCTCAGGATCTTTGGACTCTTCCAAGATCTTTGAGGGCGGTTCTGCCTTCTTCCAAGACACTAGTGGCTCATGTTTTTATTAACCTTGTGATTCAGGTCCCTAGTGACCTGAAGACCATTGCTACATTGAGAGGTCTCGACCTTGGATGGCTAGACCATGCAGGACCTAGTCAGGGATAACAAGTTAAGATGGTCTTCTTCCTGCTGCTGACACCAGGGAGCATCAAGCCTGTGCATAAAATTGTCATCCAAAAATGTAGTGATGTGGATTCAAATTCATCACCTAAAAGATGTGCCCCCACAACAGGGGTTGTGGCTCAGCGGTAGAACACTCGCCTTGCATGTGCAAGGCCCTGGGTTCAATCCTCAGCATCACATAAAAAAATAAGTAAAATAAAGGTATTGTGTCTGACTACAACTAAAAAAAAAAAACAGATACGTCCTAGCCTTCAGTTTAATTTTAGGGCAAAGGTGTCCAGAGGTGGATAGAAGTGAAGAGGAGGTGAGACTGTGCAGAAACAGAAGTATCTGTTGCCCTGTTGGTGGTCACTTGGGTTATTTTCAGTGTTGTGTTATAGTAAGTGCCATGATATATCTTCACACAGATATGAAGACATTTTAGGCTTCTCGATGGAAATAACTAACTTAGCGCTGTCATTATTGCTTCCCTCCCACTGGTTCCTTCTCTCTCAACATGTACATTTGTTCTTTACTTTAGAAACACAAATATAAACCAACAAATAAAAAACAACCTTGCCTTCACTCAGTACTCTACCTAGAGACACTCTGTGTCCTCACCTAGCTGAGCTTTTGACTTGTTTCCAGTACATCCTGAGGATGCTCTCAACTTGACTGTCAGTAACCTCTATGTAAGTCCAAATCCAGAGGATACTTTTCAATGTCTCTCTGACTCGAGTTCTTGATAACATTTTCACTGCAATCCATTTTTTTTATTTGTTACTGGAACTTTTCTTTAGATCCTCCTTTAATATACTCCATCTTAATTTTTCTCCTGTTTCTCTGGAACTTCCTTTTCCTCCTTAAATGAGCTTCTTAACTATCATGTTACCAGATGCATTCCCTTAAATATCCACATTTTATGCACTTTGCATGGAAAATCTCATCTAACCCTTCAGTCCTCTGGCCCAAACCTATCCCCTGAAGTCAACCATCATGTATGACTGTCCATGTATCATTTCTACTTAGATAACTGTTAGATAATCTAAATGCAATATGCCCCACACTAGACTCAAAGTCTTCTCCCACTTCAAAAGTCTTCCTTTATTACCTTTTAAACTGGTGGACTTAAGATTGCACTGGATTTGGGATGTGTTCATCAAAGGACACAAAATTTTAGTTTTAGAGGAGGAATTAGTCTAAGAGATTACAGGATAGTAACTGGAATTAATAAATCCAGACCCGAATCTGATGATTGTACTCTGCATTAGACAATTTTATGCCAAGAGAGTGGATTTTAAGTGCTCTCATACATAAACAAAAGGACAAGCATATGAGGTAATATTTATGCTAATTAGCTTGTCTGCCATTTCACAATGAATATGTTTCAAAACAACATGTTGTACACAACATAGACAATTTTTATTTGTTAGTTGAAAATAATTTTTAAAAACAATAAAATAAAAGAAAGAAAGATGGTTGCATTGATGAGCCTAAGAATAAGAGTACTTTCTACTTCCCATCTCACTTACCAATTCTTGTAGAATATAATCTCTTAATGGTAATCACAGTTATCAATTTAATATTTCTTTATCATCACACTGTTTTGTTTGTTTGTTTTTCCCTCCGAGGATTGAACCCAGGCCCTTGAACATACTGGGCAAACTCTATTGAACTACATACCCAGCCCCCATCTCTTCTTTATCTTGGAGAGTTAGGTTTCTTTTTGTTTTGCCTTCTTTTCTGATGATGATTCTTCTCAACTGAGAAGGAACGTAACAATGCTTGTGAAACAGTGTTCTCACTGTAGGTGTCCAAGCATAGACGGGAATCCCCCGGTTTCCCCCTTGCCTTGAGATTGCAAACTCAGGGAAATTTGTGATTTAGGAGGTTGGATCAGATAAGCCCTGAAGGCCTTTTCACCCTTGCTCTGTCATTTGAAGCCCAGAAACTCAGATATTCATTGCTTCATTTAATGATGATAGTTTCTTGTCTTTTGCTATTTCTTATAAACTAATAAAGACTAAGAAACAAACAAAAAATAAATCCCATTGTTCTATCAAACTCAGCAACACTTGTAGGCCCATTGAAAACAAAAATAAAAACAAAAATTAAAAAAGAAAGTTTGAACCTCATGCCAGAAAAACTGCACTAAACCTTTGGATTTAATATGCCTAAAATGAAAAAATATTATGAACAAATTTGAAAGACTGAAGAAGAGTGACTTATATTATAAATAGATTAAATGGATTCATAAGGAAAAATATTATGAACAAAGCTATACAATGCTATTTATGAACAGGAAATATATTTGAACCTGTTAAAAACAGAAACTTAAGGACTCTAAACAGCACTAAAATGTGAGGGACAATTTCTTTTCTCTCTCAACTTTATGCTATTTCTCTGTGTTCTGTAAGGAGATACATAGTATTCCTATTCGTCCACCTCCATGACTCTAAAAACACTTTTACATCTATGGTCCTAGAAGAATTGAGAACTTATTGGGAAGAATTTTTCTACTAGCTACACATAGCTGTGTGACCTTAAGTTACTTAACTTCTCTGCCTTTCCTTATTTGTAAAGCATACTTTGTATATTTGATTCATAGAGTTATTGTGATAAATAGTAAAATAAGTATTTAGAACAATGCCTGGCACTTAGTAAGTGCTCACTAAATGTTATTTGTCACTGTTATTGCGGATATTTCTGTAAGACCATGATACTCAGGCTTTCAATGGATCAGGAGGCACCTAGACTTCTCAATGATCCTCTCCTAATTTTGTTCCTCTCTCAGATCCTTTTGTAACTGCTCTGTACCATTGCTTTTTTTATGTTACTGCTTCTTTCCCCATGTATCTTTCCTTTGACCTCTTTCTTTATTTTTATATTAAGAAATCTTTTCATTCTTGCTTGTCCACCACTCACATATTCATTCTTGCTTTTGTCATGGTTTTCTCTATTTTCTTTATACAGTGGACCATGTAACAAGCTTTGCCATGTTTGCCCAGACCAATGCACCATCTGGGGAGTTTATGTTTGAGTTTGATGAGGATGAGATGTTCTACGTGGATCGGGACAAGAAGGAGACCATCTGGCAACTGTCTGAATTTGGCCGAGGCCTTTCCTTTGATTTTCAGGGCGGGCTGACTAACATTGCTATAGTAAAGTCAAACCTGGATATCCTGACAGAGCGCACCAATCACACCCAGGACTCCAGCGGTACTGCCTGTCTTTGCTTCTCCAATCAACTGGGATGGGATGGGAGGCCCCTCTGTCACACAGAATGGGAGACTTGATGCCCACAACTGAGGGACCCTCTTCCCCGTGGCTGTGGGCTCATTCCAGCATAGTCGAGGGCTGCCTCGCCCCTTCC